TTGTCACTAGAATGCTGTATTTTGTTTGTTGGATAGTGTATCCACGAAAATCAAGATTTGTGTTTTAAAAAAGCTCTTTAAGATGGTTCAATATTTTTTTACTCATTCATAATTTTTGGAGAAGAAATCTTTTATTTAGCTTATACTAGGTAATGTCAGTTAGCTTGTTTTATTCATTTACATAATCATAAGTTTTTACCACATGATTGTGACACCTTTCTTAATTTTTATGCTCAAGTATTTTTTATAGTGTGTTAATTGGCATATTAAAAAAAAGAAAATCAACTTTGGTAACATAATTCTTTACATAAAATATGTATTACAATGTAACTATAATTTTCATATACTTTCTATAGAAATACAAATATATTTTAACTTAGGTTATAAAATACGGAGTACAAAATAAAAGATTTGTACATGAAAGTAGTTACATGGTTTGCACTCATAATTTAAATATGTTTTTTAGAAACATATCAACATATGTAAAAATATATAGGTAATTCTTTTTTTCCAAATTCATTTGATAAATGAAATATTAATGAATTTGATCAATTTTGGGTCTAATCGGTTCCAGGTTTAACCGGGTTCGGGTTTAACCGGGTTCGGGTTTAATCGGGTTCGGGTTTAATCGGTTTGGGTTTAATCGGATTCGGGTCTGAATCGGGTCTGAATACATTCGGTTCGGGTTCGGTTCGGTTCGGATCATTTCGGGTGTTTGGTTCTATTTCGGTTCTTCAGTTTTCGGGTCAAATCGGGTTCGGTTCCGGGTTATCGGGTCCGGGTCAGTTTTGCCAGGTCTAGGTGTAACTATCCTTCGACTTGAAGTATTATGTTTTCTGCATATGTGAACCCGCATACTTTGATGCATTGTCCTAAGCCATATGAAATAAGGATGGTATACTGGCTTTGTTTTGGGTATGCCGCAGCGCGTATTCAGAAACGTAGATTACGTACATAGGATTTGTCACTACTCTTTTTAAAAGAGATTAATGTCTTATGGGGCCCACTGATAAGTTATGATTGAGGAAATTGCATGGCCATGCTGAGATGTTTTTATGACGTCTGTTCCTATCAGTCAGACTTGATAAATCAGTGAATGACTTAATGGATACAAGCTGGATTTTATTAATCCCTTGCATTAAGTCTAGACATTGAGACAAAGGGATACAGTTACACGGAGTCTGAGTCGTGGAAAGGTTTTGATGGTGCAAACGTCTTAACTTATAATCTGGGGGCAATAATGTGTTGCTACTTGCTAGATACCGCTTATTGCTTATAGTATTGGTGCAGAGCCAATACTGTGGTCAGCTTTATAAGTGCCTATACGGGTCACACACTTTGGACAATTTAAGGAGTAGGATTAAACAATGGGATAATAAGTAATTTGTATATTTGTAAAATAATAAAATAAAATAATTTGGAGTATAACATATATTATATATACGGTTATATATATATATATATATTTAATATATATATATATATATATATATATATATATGATAACACTGAAATATATATATATATATATATTAAATATTAAATATTTTATTTTGGTTTGTCATTTTAATTATGAAAATAATTATTTTGACATAAACTATTTAAAGTATATTTGTATACTTGTTTAAAAATGATATTGATATTTTATTTGATTTAAAATTAATTTTATATTAATTTTTGATGTCAAATAAAATACACTTTGAACATTTGAGTGGAGAAAAATTTCACAAATCTTTCTCATATCATTGTTCGGCCAAGTGGAGATTTATGGAATCAAATTTTTCTTTTGATTGATTCATTAATGGAGCTAATAATGTTTTGTCATTTAGTAAATGACAAAGTCAAATTAATCACTTTTCTTCCTTATAATTGGCACGCCACTTTGTAAAAGGATTTAGTGATTTGGGCTATTGTTTAAGAGTGTATTTTCGGCCATTATTTCCTAATGAGAGAAAATATATTTTTATGTTCCATTAATATCATTTTGTGTATAGAAAATATCTATAATATTTTCTAAATACTATTAGAAATATTTTCTATAGAAATATACAAGATTATTATTATCCCAAATTTTAATCTTTATATTTTATACTACTATAATCTTTACTAGCATAAAGATTGTGGTAGACTCCGGCATTGTTCGTGTGTCAAAGTTGGAGACCGGACGCTTGAACGGTTATGTTTGCACTTTCAACGCTTACGGAGAAAGGTATAAATTCTTACTTACTATAAGTTTTAGTACGTGATTCTAGGCAAGATAATCATATTAGGATGTTAAAATTTTTGTATTCCGCTGCCTATCCTTGCATGGTTACCTTTCAAGTTTGACTCTTTTGGTCAAACTATGACACTTTTTGAGCGTGAATTATGAAAAAGGTATATTTAGTTATAGTGAAAATATAATAAAATTGGATTTATTTTTAAATGTAGTTTTGAATTATCAAATTTTATGTAATATTTAATTATTTTAAATTATATTCAATTCTTAGTCAAAGAGTGTCACTGTTTGCCCAACAAAATCAAACTATGGCAATCTTTGAGGGACGGAAGGAGTATGTGTTATGGTGGGTGTGAAGGAAAGTAATGAGTTGTAAATATGTACTAAATTTTGATTAGTTAAAATATTTTTAAAAATGAAAAAAAATAAAGAGGGGAGAAGGATCATCTCGGAGTGATGGCTAGTTGGCTACCACTTGGAGTTGGGCAAGGAAGAAGGAGTAAAATAAGAGTAAATGAGCGATTAAATCTTAAAATAGGAGTTAAAAGATAAAATATCCAAAATAGGAGTTAATGGACACTACCCTTAAAGCACATTAATTAGCGCACAACTACAGCTTTCGCATAGCTCAATCCCCACGCGCCTCTCTTTTGTGTTCATCCACCAATGGCCATGTGCTCAATGAATGGGTACGACAAGGCAATAAGGTTTGATTTGTTGAGCTTCAGCACGTTGCTATCGATCCCAGCAAGCGCGGACGCTTGTCTCAAGCTCTTGAGGTACAACTCTGTAGTCCATACTTGACTATACATATGTTGCTAATGATATATACATCCTCTGAAATTTCTCTTCTCCATCGCCGCCCTGTTCCGCCGCTTCTGTCCAAATTCACCATTGCCGCGGTTGATTTTTCACTATCACCACCAACATCACTACTCCCTACCATTTTCACCCACACTAGCATCATAATTTGCACTGTCGTCATCGTAGTGTCACATTAACAGTTAATACAGTGTCAAAGAAATACATAATGGCAAACATGACACCGCATCAATATCACACATGACAATGTATAATGTAACAATGTGAATTCACAATGTCACACAAAGGCATAATGCCAAACATGACCCAATGTCTATAACACACTACACGGCCATCTGCTTTTTACATGGCCACCATTGGATGGACAGATGATCGATCCTCCCCTATAGTGGTAGACTCCCATTTTTCCAACATTGAATCTCCATCCCAAAGAATCCAAAAAATTTTAAGGAAAACTAAATTTGATGAAAGATCAAGAAGGAATCCACTCACTTTTAAAATCAAAGCTTTGAAAGATGAAAATGGTGTGGGCGGTGTGGCAGATCTGAGAGGGATGCAGCGATGAATCTTTGAGGACAGGGGTGCACAGGGCGATGATGTAGCAATTGGGAAACAATGGCGGCAATGGTGTTGCGAAATGGAGGGAGGTGTGGTGGAAGATCTGAGAATGGTGCAACGACGATTCTTAGAATGGTGGTGGTGCATGACGGCGGCGATAGTGCTGAAATCGGAACTGGCGGCGGTGATGCACTGTTATTTGTGGCGGAGATGGAGATTGGAAAGGATTGAAGGTGGATGCCAGAAAAGATCGGGTTTGGAATTGATTCTGATCGGGAAGAGTTTAAGGCACAGTTTTATTCCTATTTAGGGGATTTTCTTTTGGAACAACGCAGGGCTGGTCACGAAGGGGGGAAATGCCTCACAATTAAAGGCCTTATATCCCCACATCATTGAAATTTTTTTGTTCCATCTCATCAATAAAGAAATTCATTTTCCTCGCTTTTCTCACATCCACTCTAAAGTCTCAACTCATGTGGCAACTTTTATAAACGCATTTTTGGGATAGTTTTTTATCTGAAAAGTTTCTCGCGTGTAAAAATTCTCAATGGTGGGAGAGCTCTTAGAGACTCGAGCTATGCTCAAATCTTGTTATGAAATATGTAATAAATGATATGAATTTTCCAATTTGAAATAAAAGTATTTGAAGAAATTTAAACGATGAGTGTTAGTTATTGGTAGGTGAGGATGACCAGTGGTGGTAGCCAATGGGGGATGGTCGGCAGGGGTGGTCAATTGGGACTGGCCAACACCGGAGGGTGCCTAGTGGGAGTTTGTCAACAAGGATTAACGGATGATAGTGGGATATCACTAATAGGTCAGTGGTTGTGGACTATGGTAGTAGGTTGTTAATTGGGGTTGGTCGGCACCGCTTGGTTGGTGCTCGACAAGGTGTGCATTTCCACGAAAGTGGATTGTGAGGGTTGGTCAGCAGGGGATAGTGATTAATAACAGGGGTTGGCCAACGATGGTGATTGGTGACGGAAGCATTGCACCGATGTGATGGGCAGTGACAATGAGTTGCCACAACAGGATACAATAACTCAAGTAGATTCAAAACTCTTGGATTGATATATCCCAAATTTAGGAAATATCACAACATCATCATTTAGGAGAGGAATAACTTCATCAAACACTCAAGAAAAAACTTTCATATTCAAAATATCAGAATTCATATCTTCTATGTTCACCATGGGTTTGATATACAATTAATGGAGACTAAAAGAACTCTTCTTTAGAGCATTTGGATTAAAGTCTTTCCTAAAAGTTTTCATGAAAGCAATGGATACATTTTAAAATTTATGCCGTGTGGACTACATTGAGAGCTTTACAAACTACACATGCTTCCTAAAACACTATTGCTTCTCTCTATTCATTTTTAATACTCCATTCAGATTTAATCTTTCTATTTGATTTTTACCGTCTCCAATGTATGACTTTGACTATTAATACCAATTTTTATATATAAATATATTTTAATTAAAGCTAATTATTCAAAGCTACATTTCAAAATGAAACTATTCATATTACATTTATATTGAAACACAGTGTATTTTTCTACAAATGAAAATATTAAATCTGAACGGAGAGAAGAGTATTAAATATTTAAGGGATAACATGTGGACTTATTTTGGGGTCAAAAATGCTAGTCACAAACAAACAATTAAAAATTTACAACCTTGTCATTTTTTGTTTAAATTTTCTCTTTTTTAATTATTTAAGACCATTTTTATTTATTGTGGAGTTCAAAAATGGAAAATTTGTAAATTGTAATTTTTTTGTTTATAATTCTAATATGAGACCTCTTCTTTTGGGAACAAGGATACCACAACAATTCCAATTGGGCACCTACCATACTTCATTCATAAAATTGATGGTTCATATCCTACCTAACAACCTCGATAAACCCCCCCCTCACATCCCAACCCTAAATCACAACTAAACCCCATCAATTTTAATTCCCAAATTTAATTGAATTTGGGGTAAAAAAAATTGACCCCAAATTCAACTAAATTTAGAAAATAAAATTGAAAGGGTTGAAAGAGATGTCAGAGCCAAGGTGGAGGAATTTACTAGGAGGTTAACGATATAAGAATCATCAATTTTATAAACGGGATACTATAAGTGTTCTAATTAGAGTTGTCATATTATGACACTTCAATGTGTTGTCAAAAGGTGTGTTCTAATAATTCTCTTTTAGTTTTTTGTGGTGCTTGAAAGAAGGGTAAGTTGGATTTAAAACAAATTTTTACTAGAAAATCAAAGATACACTAGATTAATTTTTTACTGCCTCCGTCCACAAATAAACTTCTTGTTTACTATTCACAGAGTCAAACTGTATTCACTTTATTGGCCTATTTTTGTCACTCATTTGATAAAATAATAGTCATGTTACCTCTAATTTTGTATATCTTTAGATATAGAGTAGTTTTTTAATATGTAATTTTTATTTTTAAAATTTACACTATTTTTCATATAAATGATTTGAAAATAACTTCATTCAAACATCATAACGCGTAATGAAAAGTTTATTTGTGGACGGAGGGAGTATAACTATGTGAAAGAACGTTGGGATAATTGTAGAGCCGCGAGCTCTAGTTTACTTGCAAATATTAAAAATTGGATTACAAGTAGCAACCCATTTGCAAACTTTCCAAAAATTTAAACACTTCATTCTCTATTGGAAAGAATTGTGTTTTCTTTCTTTAATTTCTCTTTGCATATGCCAACAATTATGTGACTCTAAATTCATGCAAAAAAAAAGGCAAAGAAATTCACTCGGATGACATAATATGTGACACATGTGAGGCACATGTTAAGAGAAAGTTCATTATATTCCATAACTGAAAGGAAAGCTGCCTGTTAGTTATTACTACCATATCTTATATTTATGAAAATACAGACAACAATGTAATGCTTCTTGCAATCTTGCCAAGACAAAACTGAAGTACAAGAAGATAGATACTCCGTATATCAGGAAAAATAAAAAGATCCCTTTAAATACAAACAAACAAACAAAACTAAAATGGGACCAAAAACTTGAACAACATATCATAGGTTTCTTTGGTGGGGTGGGGTCGTGTGGGGGTGGGGGTGGGGGCATAAGGCTATGCCCCCAGCGGTGGGTGGGCAGCTCAAACTAGAGGCGGTCGTTAATCTTGAAGGGTGTTTAATAAGCGGCCGTTCATGTTGTGGGTCCCACTAGAGGCAGAATGCAGAGGAACTTGAACGTGTATCACCGGGTGATTAATAAACGTGTGGTAGGGGGTGATGACTTCACTTTGTTTTCCTATCAGTAGGAGGAGCGGCGGGGCTTGAGGAGGGTTCATCTCCATTTTCTGAGGTGACCTCGGATGAACCTGTTGAGGACATATCACCACGATCAATGCTTGAACTCCTGAAGCTCTTTGATGGAATGGTTGGATGATGATTATGTGAAGAATTACCAGTTGTTTGACCTTGCCCTTGTTCAGCTAGCTTTTTGAGAAGGTTCATCACTGTAGGGAGGAACTTACTTGATAACGAGATAAGTCCAGGAAGCTGTAGCCACCCAGCAAAATTCAAAATTGCAAAGATGAATAAAATATAATTGATCCCAAAAAAAGATCGGCAATGCTCATTTTCTTTAAAAGAGCAAAAGAGTTAAATTACCAACTCAACATTCACAATTCTGGAAAAAAAAGTGACAGGTAAATGATTCTAGTGGTTAACTTACAGCGCCGTTGCGAAATTCACCCGAAATGTCTAGTTGCACCCAAAGTGCCTTTAGAATTAAATAGGCGACAAATATAACGCCCAAATACAAAGGATTCCTATAACAAGTGAAATGAGACGTGTCACATCATGAGAAATGACAAAAACTCGAAGGAAAACAAAAGTAGGGGGGGGAGGGGGAAAGAGTACCTCAAGAGTGTCATAAATTCATTGAATCCTAAAACAACCATGGCAACAATAGCCCATGGAGGTGGTAACCAATTGTTACTTCTCTTGATGGCTTCCTGAAAATAACAGGCAATCACAGATTTATTGGGTAAAAAAATTCAAAGTGATGAAAATAAAACAAAAGCAAGAAATTTGTGAAATCAAATATCATGCCTGAGCAGCAATAGCTTGCGCCACAGTAAACTCTGTCTCCCTTTCAAATTGCCTCCATAGAGATTTGCACTCGATGGGCGATATCAGAGTTTTTGAAGGAGGAACCTGTGGAGGTTAGAATGAACTTGAGAATCATGAGAGGTAGTGATGCAGAGAAAGAAACAGGAGAGGATATAGAAAGCAGGTGAAAATTTTGAGAAGTACAAATGTGAAGTAACAAGATGCAGATAGTAACATGTAAGAACACATAAATTTATTGTTTCACTGAACCAAGTAGTTTACCTCATCCCAAGAGCTTGTGGCTAGAGGGTCAACTGTAGTGTCACTCTCGTTCGCAGCACTACCCGATTTGCGATCTATTAAAGTAAGGGCAAGAGTTTTCCCAATATTGTCTGATTCTTCCTCCAAACGGATAGCAGCCATAACTGAGAGTACCTTGAGAGACTGAAGAGAGTTTTTTTTTAGTAAAACTAAAGTGCACCACAGCGGGGGAGGGGGGGTTATAAGACATGACAAAAGTCGTATTTATCATATAGCCATACGGATGAACGGGCTTTTTTGGTAATTGCTCGTATGTCCTCTTTCCCTGTCCAAACTCTGGGCATTGAGTCAGAATCATGGCTAAATAATGTCGTAAACCTGCCACCAATTTTGGAAAGCAGCAATCAAAAAGTGAAGAAAACACTTATTCTGAGATGTTTGGAAAATAGGCACTGCAAAAAACATGATAAAAACCTGTCTTTCATCCGGATCAAAACTCTTCCAGCTTCTTCTTTTGCCTTTGTTTCTACAATTCCTCTTGCATGATCCCTTAATGCCGAAAGCATATTACCTCTGGTTTCATCATCCATAGCAAAGCTTGAAAGTGCCACAGAAAAATCAGATATTGCAGCTTCGGTCTCACGTGCAAGAAGTCTTCTTATTTCTGGCCATGTTTTATCATTAGCTTCATCTAAAAGAGTTTCAACAACTCCAGATAGTGCCTTGTTTAGTTTTGTCTGCATACAAAGTCGCAAATGGTATTTAATTAGTTACAAACACAAACTAATCACAATAATTGTGTTCCACATCTGATCTAATCCAACCAACAATTGATTAAAACTAATTTCTGGCTATATCTTCCACTAGGCCTTAGAATTTAGCATCATATGTCTGTGATTAAGAGTTCACAGATGCAATAGTGGTTTCTTGCATATGGTTCCCACCACCCAAAAAATTGTAAAAAAAACAAATATCGGCTGTTCATTGTTGTCTTTAAGTAAAATTTGAAAATGGCCACAGAAAACTGGTCAATGGAACTTAAAGCACAGCATACAAATTGATTCTACTACGATCTGTCACAAAGGTACCACTTGGGCAATATATTTGATTTCCATCCATACCTCAAAAAATGTTGTAAGTTCAGCAAGCTTAGTAGCACGAACTTCTGCAATATGTGTATCTATATCACGCCTGAGCTTATCCCTCACTTTGGATGAGTCCCAATTAGCTTGAGCAATGACAGCATCTGCATGAGAAGGTTCCATATACGCTTATTTTAGATAAATATACACACAGAATATCATCAACTTGTGATAACTTTTAATTATTATAGATACTAAAAGATAACTACAACTCCATAGGTTTCTTAGATAGAACCACCCAAAGACGAAAAAAGTCTTGAATAGGCGTGATGAGATTTACAGAAATTCAATTCTTCTTCTTACCTGGGGACTTTAAGACGGATAGTGAATAGAAGACCTAATGGCAATGTTCGCTTTTGAATGACTACAATCTTGAAAATAAAATCTTTTCTTCATGTGTAACGTGATCATGCCATTCAACAAAACTAAAAGACTATTGAATGGAGTTCACTCCTTTGCAAAACCATCTGATGACAAGCAATGCCGTGCTTGTTCAGACATCGTGGGTGGCAAACTATATAGCATTTCTAATAGAATACGTACATGGGTGATGTTTGTGTGCAATGTCTTCAAAGGATCACAAAAAAATCATAATGGCAGTTTCTACATTGCTTACCGGCACATCCTTTATCAAACTCCTTCATTGACAACTCAGTGCAGCTACGAGCAGCCATAGCAAAGCCTTTTCCTCCATTCAACACACTATCAAAATCTTTTTTGAAACTTTCTAAAGTTTGAGATCGTAGGTGTGCAAGCATAGATTGATAGGCAGGTAGTGTAAGCTACAATATGAGGAAAAACAGGTCAGTGTAACTCCAATGTTCATTGCAGAAAATAAAAATATAAACAACACACTTCCATTCCAGCCTTTCTGGAACTGTAATAGCTCAGTCTAGTTTCATACAACAACAACCCGGTTGGATCCCACGAAAGTGGGGTCTGGGGAGGGCCGAGTGTGTGTGTACACAAACCTTGCCCCTACTTGAAAGTAAGGAGGCTGTTTCTAATACCCCCGGCTCAAGCTACACATATATAGAAGGATCACAGTAGATACATAAAGCAGGGAAAGCACCAAGCACCTAGAGTAAAAAAAAAAACTAAATAAACTAAAGTTAACGAAGGGAAAGTACAGCAAGCAAATGGCCTATAGCACCAAGAATATAAGGCATACAAAGCACACAATAACAACAACCCCGAGCTCAAGACACCTACCCAACAACTCTAATCCTAGCTCTCCAAACGCTCCTACTTAAGGCCATATCCTCACTAGGGGAAAGATGTCTTAAGTCCTGTCTAAACGCTCTCCAAACGCTCCTATCTAAGGCCATATCTGATTTCACTTGTGAAATAATTGGTTTTCAAACATGTTCTCCTTGAAACCAAAAACTTCGGGAAAAACCTGATATACAACATCATATATGAGCCTAGCATGTAAAAGATAGTAATGAGGCTAAAGACTTGTATGAAGCTAAACTGGATTACATTTTGAAATTATGGGACTTTGTAAAATATTGATGAGTTTTTTTTACCAAAAACTTGTTTGACTGAGCGGGCTGAATTGTTCCAATTGGTTGACAATGAAAAAAAGTTGTGCAGAGGACATTTTTTTGCTGAAATTGCCGAAATGAAAACTTTCAAATTTACCTTAATTCTCATATATGCGGAGTAATTTCTAATTTTATTCAACGAATATAGTTTATCTATTTTTTTTAAAGTCCAACGACTTCAGGTGACTTCACTCCCACAAAACGGACTCAGAAACACATAGGGGATAGATGATAAATGTCCATACTTCTTCAAATAGCAGAAACTAGAAAATGTTAAGCAAAATATTCAATAACGCCATTACCTGCAGAAGTTTATCTTTCAACTGCTTGCGCTTGGCCAATCTCACGCCTTCATCAAAATATATGACCTCACTCTCATACCTAAGTATATAAGGAATGTCCAACCAAATATTCAATATGGGCTAAACTTTTAGATAACTTTTAGTATGTCGAAAAATAATTTTGAAATGTAACAAACTAAGCATGTGAAGCTACACACTTTAAATGCATTTAAACATCAATGGGGAAAATGAATTCATGGTGGCATAGACCAACTCCATACATGGCACCACTCAAAATTTATTCATGCTAGAGAGCACATGTAGTCTTCTTTTCCTATTCCATACAAAAAGTTTAGTGCAGGATGCCAGGATCACATGGCTAAATTAGTTGTCCACTAACTACACAAGTCCAATCTATTGCATCACATTGCCTGCTCAGTAAGGGGAAAATGGGCTAGCAGTATGAAAATAGAATGTAGAAGTTTAACTTCAAAGAAATGTTTATGCTCAGATATAAAACTACTCTTGAAAATGGTGACAGTTAACTTTAAGATCACAGAGCCTATGCACCTAACAAGATTAGCAATAGGACTACATAAGTTGACACTTACACATTTACACATGCAACGTAATATACTACGTATATGGCAAAAGTAAACATGCTTACTCTGTTAGACACTTTTCCAGGATTGAATTGAGCCTCTTCCCAAATCCAGGCACAGTGTGAGACTGGACTGCTTCATTAAGTTCACACCATTCCTACAAATTATGTTATCATGATGCACTTCCAGGGTCATACTGCTACAACATAATAAGAAAACAGTGTATTCCACCCACAAACATGCCCCTTCCCCTCCCAAAAGGCCAAAACATTACCAAAAAGGAAAGAAGAATCTCCATTATTTAAACGTACCTCATTTTTAGTAAAAGAGAAGTATTTTTCATTTGCAATTTCTTCACATCGTACAGTAGCCACCATAACCTGTGATCAGACCATAATCAAGTGAAGCAGAAATCAAAGTTGTACTGTGTTATCCATGAAAAGTCAGTGAATTTTCATGTAAAGACCTTGTGGGCAGGCAGGTCAAGATCTTTGTTCTCCTTTATAGTTGTCCATATCTGTTGTGAACTAAATGAAAAACCAGAAGCTGGTACTACTCCCCGCCTATCTCCGGCAAGCCCACCAGGTGCAATAGAGTGAAAGAATCGTTGTCTTAAATTAGCCACCTTCACAAAACATTTTTTGTAAAGAAAAAACTCCCAACTGTGAGAATGAATGTACTGATAGTAACAATTATTATATCGTCGAAAATACATGGGAAAATGAAATATTGAAAACTAACAACATGAAACAGTGGAGCTTCAAGAAATCCAAATGTGTTTATTACCTGCTCTTTGAACAACTCTTCTTTCTCCTCGTAACTAGAGAGAGCAACAACCTCGACCTGCCATTATACTCAACATAAGAAATGGGTTGTCCACAGAAAACATTAAAAAGGTATGAGAGCTAATCAAAGTTGGACTCACGTTGAAAAATTCACTAAGAGGAGTTTCTTTGTGAGCTTCCGGCTTTGGAACTGAATCCCAGATCTATAGTAAAAATTATGAATATATTAATAAAGCCAAGCACAGGAGAAATAAGAATGAGACCTAACAACAACAACAACAACAAGTCAACAACAATAATAATGATAACAGCATGCAGTACCTTCTGAATATCTTCCCTTAAAACAGGCTCCAAATTTTCAAGGGGTGTCTGTAACAGAGTTTGAAAGCTCATCAAGGAAAAATACTCATACACCAGATGAACTAAGCGGAAAAAAAATGAGCAAAGTATGTACCCTTGTTTTGTCACGGATAACGAACATTAATGTTGTTTTACGCGGACTAAATAATCGCATCATCACCTATCCATGATAAAACCAAATCAGTATAATATAGAACATCATATATTCACTGCAGAGATTAAACAAATAAATAAAAATTGTAAAGCTTACCTGGAAAACAGTTTTCAACAGAGGCTTATTCGCAGCTTGCTCACGACCAATATCATGACACCACCTGAATAATTGCAACATTATTTGCTCAGATGAAAAATTATAGCAAAAGGTCATGTTATACGCCATTAAGTTGAGTTATGTAGCTATGACCAAAAAAAATGTTAAAGACAAACTTACATATTTATTAAAACTATATCGGAAACAGCAAGGGCAAACAAGGCACTCTGCTTCTCAAATGCCGTGTCATCCTAACAAAAAAAGCCAAATTAGAATGTGTGTGCAAGGCAGTCTACTGAAGGAATTATCAAGCAAGACCATATAACAAGTAGATCTAGTTTTAATCAAAACGAATGCCTTACACTAATGTATTTATTGTTCATAGTAAACCAAAGGCTATGATCTCAATCATTAGAGTGATCTGAACGTTAAGCAATGCTCTTCAAATTTTGGAGAATTGTATAAGACATGAGCACTCACTCATATGAAGTGAACACATTTTGAGAAAGTTGTAAGAATGTAACTCAAGAAAATAATTCACACCCAATTCAAAATTTTGAATTTGGTCTTCATATCAATACAGTCTTTTTAATTAAGAGGAAATTAATATGAAAACCAAATTCAAAAAATCTGTGTATTTAGCAGTGAGAACATCACGTGTAAGGGTAAAAACAGAGTGAGAAAAAAAGAGAAGAAAACATAATTATTTTAACCATACCTCTCCTCTCTCTCTTCCATCTGTGCCCTCTAAATCCATTACAATTGTGCAGGGTTCAATTCCAACACATCGAGCCATCCAAATACCTTTTGTGGTTTGTGACCTACAAAAAGAATCAGTTAAGTCAGTTTCTTATGGATATAATAAAACAAGAAGAAACCAGTATAGTGTAGGGATTTTGATGAATACATGCCTTCCTTTATAAGCATCCATCTCTCTAAAGTTCGTATGAAAAAGATGATTTAACAGTGTGCTCTTTCCTGTCAGATTCACAGTGCTGAACTGATCATTATATTTTAATATTAGACAATAGCATCAAATTTAAAATATGTTGATAAACTGTTACAGAGTACTTATTTTTATACAATGAATTGACCCTAAAGCATAAACGCCACCTACTCCAACTAATTCTGATAAAGATGATGATGATGATGATGATGCAGGATTGTAGGATTTACATGTTTGTTAACACAATATTAGTGTCATTAAACTTTCAGTCTGTACCAATGCAAAACGGTCTCTCTCAATGCCTCTAGAAAGAGGTAGGACAACTATAGAAGTATTTTTACAGTACAATTGATCTCTCAGAATCCTTTTCCAATAAAAAGAATAGCATACCGCTACTTTGTGGGCCCATAATTGATACAACAGCGTATGAAAGTCCACATTCGGCCAGTTTAACCTTCCTCATGAAATTTTCAACTCCATCAACATTGAACGTACCATCCCCATCAATGAGGTGGGTTGAGCAGCACTCATCTGTATATTCTGCAAATAATAATAGCAAAACGAAGTAAAAATGAGAAAGATCAAATATTCATTATCATACTTAACAAAGAGAATGTGAAACACTACAAATAATAGACCATGCATCTGACAGCACTACTAGCTAATATCATACTCCCTCCGTCCACAAATAAATTTTACGTTCACTATTCACAGGGTCAAACTTTATTCACTTTGTTGGCCTATTTTCGTCACCCATTTGATAAAATAATATAGTCATGTCACCTCTAATTTTGTAGATCTTTTGATATAGTTTTTTAATATATAATTTTTATTTTTCAATTCTACACCATTTTTCATATAAAATGATTTGAAAATAACTTCAGTCAAACATCGTAACGCGCAATGTAAAGTTTATTTGTGGACGGAGGGAGTATGTCGATATGTCATATGTGAAAAAAGGTATTGATTTAATGAAAGGAAGTGTTCTTAAAGTCCGATAATTTGTATACCCTCTCCACCATAACAATGTGCAAAACAGATCCATCGATGAAATTCATCAACTATTGCACAAAGTTTGTTTTTTCACATTTCCTGCGCTATCAATGCTTCCTTTCATCCACATGATGGACAAGGTTTATGCCGAAAAAGAGATAGTATGAGGTCAACAAACACAATCGATGTACAGAGTAACAAATGATGTCCACACAGCTAACCAAACTTTCTTCTGTTCTTTAACCCTTTTTGAGAGAGAGAGAGAGAAACATTTGACAAGCAATGCAATAACAATGTGTGAGTGACTGTATCTACGCATAACATATGTATACATATGCACGCTTCAGATTAAACGGCAGCTTAAAAGCCGGCACAAGAGCTTGAAAAAAAAATTATTTTTGAAAATTAAAAAAAAACAAAACATCTTATATTAGTTCTGTCTTATTTCTACCAAGCTTACATATGCATCTAGACACTGATTTTTTAATAAATAAATTGAAAAAGGGTAACTTGTAGTCAAGATCAAGCTGCAACAAAGCAACATCAACCCCTAACATAAATAAAACAAAGTAAATTTTAAGTTAAACCCAAAACAACAAAAAAAACTATGATTAAGCTGAAACAGAAGATGAAGCCGCTGATAAATACGAGTAATAAATAGCATTCAGTTACAGGAGGAACAATCCTTAAAGAAAAAGAACAACTTGAGTAACAGATGCGGAAAATTTAAAGCAGATCATTAAATTGGGGTCGGGTGGGGGTCTGAACAAGATACAAATAATGCTGTGAGAATTAAGAATGGATCGGAGAGCTGAGAGTACCCATCTGAGGAAGATGAAGCTGGATCGCGATTCAGGGCGGTTGAGGCGAGATGATAAGAGTGAGTTAATCCACTGAGTTCGGACCGAGATTGACGATCGGCGAGTAGGAAAAAGAAGAAGAGTGCGATCTCGTCGGCTGCACCTTGGTTGTCGTCACTCCGTCGTCTCGTGCTTCCTTCCTTTCAAGAGAATGGAATTTTAGTTTGCTTTTTGAAAAAATAAAGCATGCTACTTGTTCCGAGGTGCAACTCTACGTTAATTTTCACCTAAAACAAATCTTTAAATCATACTCTACCCCTTGGACAAATCGCCTTGTTTTGGTGCTCTTTCCGTCATCATCATATATTCATATTATCTTTGCCAAAATCTTATTCTTTATTATTAAACTCTTAATTTCCAGTTTCTTCAAGTTTTTTTTGTTCTTTCTAGTTTCTTACAGTTCATCCAGTTCCTTCTAATTTTTTTTAGTTTTTTCAGTTTCTTCCGGTTTCTTTCAACTATTTTTATTCTCTTCAAACTCTTTCTACTTACCGACCAATTATTCTAAAAACGATATATTATTATTATTACACATATTATGTTCATAATTATAAATTATAAATTATAAATTATTTCATTTTTTCATCTCACTATTATTTTTTCTTCAACTTTTTAATATGCATAATACCATTTTTTTGTATATTAATCTACATGATAAAATAGGAAAACATCAATATTTTAAACTATTTAAAAAAGCTATGGATAAAATAGTTACATAAAACGTTTTTAAAATCTAAATTTATATAAGGAAAACATCAAAATTTTAATCTAAAACATAATAATGGAATGGGGTGGGGAGTACTACATTACGAAAACCAAGAGATAACTACATCTTGAAAAAAGAAAAAACGATCCAAAAAGTGTAAAAACAAATTTAGATAACAAATAATATCACCAATAACTAAAATACAAGGGAGAAAGACCAACGTAGAACTAAAACATTGAAAACATACCAAAATAGGACTTCCATGTTTTTATTCCCGAAATAGAACTTACATTACCAAACATGGTCATATACATTACCAAAAAAATATAGTAATATGCACATGTACTGTAACGCCACAAAATAAGGCCTAGAATTTATTATTAAACAAAAAATAGTTTTTGTCCAATAAGGAATATTTATAAGTTTGACCAAAAATAAATGGATTTTCAAAATAAAGACTTTTTGTTAAAAACTTATTTTTATGGATATGTCTAGAGGAGATGAATCCAACGATACATTTTGTGAACCAATCTGATTTATATATTTCAAGCTATGACGATTTTAAATATCAAAATTTGTAACTTTGACCCATAAATTAAACTCAATTCAAAAGTGATTTCATAAGATTAGAAATCTTAATATTTGACACTTAACAATACCATATTCATCATTTGGATTTAATTCATATATTCTTATCTCATTCATATTGTTAAATTAATTTATGACTAAGACAAACCCAGACACAAAAAAATAAAAGTTCTCAGAAAAATATTTTGATTACGTCAAAATTCTAGTTTTGACAGTCTGTTTCCAAAAACACAATCCATTTTAAATTCGGAGCAGTTTGGGCGAAAAAGCGCGTACCGTTTGCAGTAAACTTTTCAGTTTTGGCAAAAAGCCAAAACTTTAATCCTCAAATCCCTCCCCAATCACGTAAGTGATTCCACTAGCCACCCTATCCCTCCTAAGAAATCCACTACCCCCCACTAAGATAATAACTCCAAACTCTTTTTGTATTTCAATACTCCCACCAATCCTCCACCAAATCCACCATCACCATCATCATCTCCCATCATCAACCATCATCACACACCATCAACTCCTTTCATATCTGATTTCTCACACAAACAAGAAGAACACAAAAGCAAGAACTCATTATTTTAGTCCATGGAAGAAGAAGCAAGAAGAAACTATCCAAGTATCCAAAATCCTGAGCTCAAACACAGCAGCCCACTTTAAGGTAAAAACTGAAATTTTCCACTCATTATCTCGAAATACTTTCTGAACCAAAATTGTAGCCCCGGACGATACGAATCCAGCCCAACAAACGGCTCGCGATTTCGTTAAGTAACGAAGAAGATATGACCAAAATACCGGGACTGCGCTAGTGGTGGCGAGCTCCTCGGGTTGGCTATGTTTCCTCACCATATCCATGTTGTTTCATTCCAAAAACTTACCATAAACTCTCTAACGATTATTAGGAACATCCGGAAGGTATCGTAGAGAAGGTTCGGTGTTGGAATATTGAAGTTAATGAGTTAATCGTCGGAACCGTTGTTCACCGGAGTATTCAAAAATTCTGAACAGCAACTTCCCCTTGACTTCAGGTCTAATTTCCGCTATCTTATATCTTTTAACCTGAAATACTTTCTATACAAAAGTTATAGCCTTACATCTTAGGAATCCACATAATCAAACGGTTTGCAATTCCGTGAAGAAACGATGGAGATATGCCCAAAATACGACACGCTGTCCAATCGTGACGAGAATGACAAAGTTGGTGAATTTTGATGTTGTTTCCACTCCCGCTCATCCGTAAGGTTTCGGCTGATGATTTCCAGGTCTGTACCCTTGCGTTAGACTTGTCGAATCATTCATCACATACATACATGAACATATATATTAATCCATATGTTGAAATCATTCCAAAATATATATGTGAAGCATATATATGTCATCTATGTGTTAAGACCAAAATACACCAAATTCATAAAGTTAATATATATACATAAGTATATATAAACATTTGAAATCAACCCAACAATATGTATATGTTAATCAAAGGTGTTTAAAAGACTTAAAGAAGTATTTTGAATACTCAAAATATCAAGAGAAAGATTCGCAGACCCAAACGGTCGACGCAAACGGTCGACCGTCGTATTAAACTTCGAAACGGACCACGACTGCCAGCAGAACGGTCGACCGCCGCCAGCCAGCCGAAGTCCGCCATCCGCAGCCAGTCAACAACGGTCGACCACCGATCAACCACGGTCGACCGTCACGGTGATCTGCCGTTCCGACGAAGTGAAGATCAAGGTCGACCGCCGTGCCAAACGGTCGACCGTTCCGAGCCCAGTAGCTTGATTAAATGATATTTTAATCATGTTTCAACCAAATAAACTTATGCATGATTATATATTCATATTGTTTGCAAATTGTTCACATCATATCATTCATTTCATCATTCATATTGAAGCATATCACATCATATGCATGCGTAAGAGATCATGCCTCGTGTGTCTCTTATAGCGTGATTGTGCGGGACTTAGCAGTCCGACATCACTGACCGGGCTTAGTGTACGTACATGGTATTCAGGCTTTCGAGTACCACCCCTATTTTTCTAGTCTCACCTCATTCGTGAGACTAAGGTGGCATGAGTTCGTCGTACCAAATGTGCGAATCTCATAGGGCAAGGTCGTTCCTTACGGGTTATAGGTTCATGCATCATGTTATCATCATCAAGTACATTGATTACATAGGTGTCATGTAATAATAATCATCAAGAACAATCAAATTGATTAAATGTGAAATCATGTTATCATCATCAAATACATTGATTACATAGGTGTCATGTAATCATCATCAAGAATAAATATATTGATTACATAGGTGTCATGTAATCATCATCAAGAACAATTATATTAATTACATAGGTGTCATGTAATCATCCTCGCGAACAAGCAAATTGATTAAATGTGCCATCATGTAATTAACAGTAAATATTTATCATCATGATTCATCAAATTGACCATATGATATAATGTGCCATATCATGAATATTATTATACACTTTTGTGGACATATATATATGTATATGTATATGTCTGTGAATTATTCTACAATTCTAGCGTGGTACCACTCAGCGGTTTCGCTGAGCGTGTAGTTTGTATTTTTCGTTGACTACACATAGGTAACAAGAGGATAATGACGGAACCACTCCCGGAGGGAATTGAGTCAGAGGAGATGCAAGGATGGCAGACAAATGTTTGATCATCAAAGAATTTAAATGTGTCATGATTTAATTATTATTGTACTTCCGCATTACTCTGAAAATATTTTTAAATGGGTCGCGATCCAGAGTCTGTAAATTTAATATTTATAAGTAATTGTCATTTTCAAATGTCAAGCGCAATTTTTTTATTTAACTCCGGTTTCACCCTAATTCGTGTAATTCCGGGTTATACGAATAGGGGTGTTACATGTACCCTGCCACATTACATTACCACAATGCAAAGTCACATTACCACAGTGCAAAGTCCTATTCCGGGAAAAAAACATGAAAGTCCTATTTTGGTACTTTTCTCTATGTTTTAATCCTATTTAGGATGATTTCTAAAAATACAACTAACAAAAAAGTTATACATTTATTTATTTGATCTACTCCGTACTTTTTATTGTCTCCAATATGTAAGATATTGCACATATAAATATAAATAATCAAACATTTTCAACATAATCATATTATAAAAACTATACTCTGTATTTAGTATCTTCAGTTAAGCTTAACTACATTTTAAGCTATAAACTATTATTTCATCTCTAAACTGCTTCATTGCATCTTAATTTTGTCCATCAAACAACATCATCTTGGGCCTATATTTTGTTATTCGCTGTCTCTGTAGAAGTAAAACATAAAAATGTAAAAAAAGTTCTATGTCTTTATTCCAAAAGTAGGGTTACAGTGAAAAAAATATCAATCATTAAAAAAAAGTAAGCTTGATTACATTATGTGACATGTCTCATATTTAAAACAAAATCTTGTAATATATAAAGTATAATTAAAAATATATTATTTTATGATAAATATTGCATAAATAAATTGATGTGCAACGAAGGCATAATAACTTTTAAATATTTAACATTTTGATATTTATACTAATTTTATATTCTAATTTTTTTTTTGCAAAAGTAGTTTTTTGAATGAAAAATAACAATATTTTTTATTTTAAAGGCAATAATTAAAATAACATGATGACAACAACAACAACAACAACAATAATAATAATAACAATATTATTAATTTATAACAACGAGAATTAGAATGTGAATAATATAAAAATATGCAAAAAAAATGTAAATGTTTTTTATTTCTTTCTTGTTTTTTTCAGTTTCATTTATTTTTTTCTAGTTTCTTCCTGTTTCTTCATGTTCCTTCCTGTTCTTCCAGTTCTTTCTAGTTTCTTCCAACATCCAGCTTTTTTTTCTAGTCTTAAAGAACATGCTCAGCTCTAAATATTATTCATCGGGATGGTTTCCGTGACATTGCCGGCAATGTCATGAGGTGACCCGGGGCACTTCAGTACGCAGTTCATAAAATTGACGGTTCCTTCCACTCTTAAACCCCCGGTAAATCCTTCACCCCGCCCCGATCTGAACACGCCCTCAACCCCTTCAATTGTACCTCCACAAGTTAATTTTGACTTTAGAGTCCATTTGAATCCAAAGTCAAAATTCACTTGCAGGGTGCAATTGAAGGGGTGGCGGGCATGTTTGGGTCGAAGCGGGGTGGAGGATTTTTTACCCGGGGGTTAGGCAGGTAGGAACTCTCAATTTTACGAACGGGACACTAAAGCACCCAGGGTCATCCCATGACATGGTGAAAAATTGTTTATAAGCAATTTCGATCCTCTCATAAACACAAAGAAATATTCACATAGTCTTGTCACATGTTGTTTTGTAAAATTTTTCATGTAGTTTTTTACTGCAACTATAGAAATTTTATATTAGAATGTTATACATATAATGAAATTAATTGAATTTAAAATAAAGTCGGTCAAACTCGCAATGCCTAAGGGAAAGATCTGTTGTGGTAGACATGGGAGTATTAATCGGTAAAAACTTTATTTCTTTAGTTATTTTTATCAATCATTTTCTAAAAAAGTAAGTATGTCCCCTCTTTGAGCATCTCAAATGGCATATGATAAAAATGGATTGCAACTTATTAAAATACTTACCAATCAAGATTTTTTCTTTGTTTCAATCATAATTGCTATATTTGACCAAACTTAGCATTTTTTGTGTTTTACCAATGAGTATTTTTCTAAATATAGTTGGAAAATATTGTTGGACATGAGTTCAAACCCCTTTACTATTTCTTCTGGATTTTTTTTTGTTTTGATGAATGACAAACAGGATGATTAAATTCAAGCCGATCGAAAATTTATTTTCGTATCGAGAAAAACAAAGAGGCGTATCAAGATAAAATCAAGGCTTACCCCTACGCAGAAGTTTTTGAAGTGAAGTGAAGACTCCGAAGATTTCTTTTAATTAAGTCTAGGAATCTTTGTAAGGATGACAATATTTTCTGCACAAACAAATTATTTTTGAGGGATAAAAATTATTATTTTCTAAGTCAGTTGAAAAATTACTTTTCCTCTGTCTAAAAATATTTTACTGAGTCAGTTTCAAAATAAGTGTGTCAAAAATTTCTTAAAAATATTTTTAAGGTTACACAATTTTTTTTGGTAAGAAAAATATACTTTAAATATTTTTCGTGTACATCTTTTGACACACAAAATAATTTTTTGGACTCACTTTTTCTCCCCTATTCAAATTCATTGAATAAGGGTTATCAATGAGCGTGCATTGATTCCCGTTGTCTCAAACAACCCGTATGAAGCCAAAGGCTTCAATCGCAAATTGGCTTGGGCCCTTTATGTTTGCACGGTATTTTGAAATTAATCGATTTTCTCTTCCTTTTTAATCGATTAATAGACTTCTAGTTGGATTCCCATGATCGCCCAATAATCGATTAATTTTCTTCATTTAATCGATTAGTTGAGACAGCGCCATCTAATCGATTATTTTGTCAAATTTAATCGATTAATTTGCACCCTGCGCAGAAGACCTTTCGCTTCTGTACACCTTAATCGATTAAAGGCTTACCTCAATCGATTAATATTGTCTGGTGTCTATTCTCAATCTGCTCCAACGGATCTTTTATCCTCAGCCTATTTAATCCCTTCTTCTCCTTCATTTCTAGACACTACTCTTGCACTCTAATATACCCTTTGAGCTATATTCATTCCTTGCTTCATCTTCCTCATCAAATATTATTTTTGAGAGTTAGAAATATTTTTTGAGTGCTAAAGAAGTTGTCATCCATACAGCTTTAAATCTTCAACACTACTTTGCTCAATTGTGTGAGCTTTCATTCTTGTGTTGTTAAACTCAATCTTATTTGAGTGTTGTTCTAAAGACTTGTGTGACTCAAGTCTTGTTGTTGTAAGAAAGTGAGGCTTGTGTGATTCAAGTTCTCAAGTTGTACCGGTTTTTCAAGCACCCGTTGAAGCTTGAAGATTAATAGGACTTTCGAGAGAGTCTCTCGGAGGACTGGACTAGCCACGAGGTGGTGAACCAGTATAAATCTCGGTGTTCTTCTCTCCCTTACTCTCTTTATTTATTCCTGCGATTTTATTATTTCACACACGCGAAAAACGCACATTCTTGTAAACAACTCTATTCACCCCCCTCTAGAGTTGCACATTTGTCTAACAAATATGATAATTCCAATTGGTATTTTGTTAGGGCACCAAAGAAATTCTCATATGTGAATAGTAATTGGCATCTTACCAATTTGGCAAACTCATTGGAGTTGATTCTATGAAGTATTTGATATATTTCATAGTTTTATTAATAAATAAATTTTATTTTAATATTTTTTTTAAATTTAGAATAAATTCAGACCAACCTCGTTATTCATAATATTATAATCCCTTCAGTCCTAGAAACTTTTCATATTTTGACTTTTTTTGGTCAAACAATGACACTTTTTGATCACAAGTTAAGCATAATCTAAATAGATAAATGTACCTAGTATAAAAATTTGATAAATCAAAATTAATTCTTAAGATAAACTCAATTATATTGAAATTCTATTATAATTAAATATAATATTCTCATAATTTATGGTCATAGAGTTCACTTGTTGACTAAAAACTCAAAACAGGAAAGGTTTTTAGGAACGGATAGAGTAATAAATCTGGGTAGAGGGGTATCAAATAACGAGTGGGTAAATTTCACCGTTGAACGATAATACCTAAATTTTGAGGTTATCTCACTTCGATACATAAATTTTATTTCCTCACGCAAAAATATATGAACTTTGAAAAACTTTTTATCGATGGTACCTAGAGCCGGTTTCCAAGTGACATACATATATACTTTTGATTTTTTCATTATGACTTTTTATTTCTTTTTTTTCTCCACAGTCCCCTCCCCTATCCTTTTTTTTCGAGCCAACTTCTTCTATATTCTGTTTTTCACTTCTTTTTATATGTTTTCTTTCTTTTTTTATTTTTCGTTGGTTTTGTTTTCTCTCTCTTTCTTTATTTTTCTAATTTTTTTTAATTTTAGATTTTTTCCCTTAGTTCTGAGTCCTTTTTTATCCATAAGTTTTTTTAGTTTTCTTATTTTTGTATTGTGTTAGACAATAATACTAATATTACTTCTAGTAATATTAGTTATGGTAGTGTTTGATTATTAGTCAGCTTCCTATTCCTATTTGTGGTAGATGTTGTAGTTTAGTTAGTCTCCATTCTCTATTCCTAGTTTTGTTAGGAGTCTCTTCTATATATACTCTATCATGTACTTCATAATTTATGGAGCAATACTATCATTTCAATATTTCAACATGGTATCTGAGTCACCGCTCTTGGTGACCTAAAAAAGTTCTTTCCTTCCACCACCGCCGCTGGTATTGCTGGCGACGGCGGCTCCACCTTATTCACCTCTATTTTCTTTTCCTTCTTTTATCCTCAAATTAACTTCTCCATTCAAAAAAAATTCATGTGTTGAAATCACAAAAAAAAATCGACAAAGTAGGAGCGTCCCTCTTGTCATCTCTATGGTTCTTCTAAAAAAACCATCGAAGGGAAACATGCCCTCAAAATCCACAACCGCTCCACCATTGGCTAAGCCTGAATCTCATTTACCCTCGAGCCGATATCTTCCTTTAATTTATCACATCGGCAATTCATCAAAAAAAACCTCTCTGAACTAATCATCATATCTTCTATAAAAAAGGAAAAACAACAATAGTTGTTTCTCTCCAATTCACCATATCAAAATATCGGACCCAAATCTTTTTTCATCACCCATTCTTAATCCATCTTTTTCTCTCTCAAATCACTCATTCTAACCATCAACCTCCCTTCTCTTTCTCTTCTGTTGAAGCAATAAAAATTCAAAGTAAATCAACACAAAACCCAAGCCAAGAGGGGAAGTAGTGAAAGAGGAAAGAATACCTCTACAACTCACCCCTTCAAAAAGGAGCTAGGGCATTGCCCGGATCCAAAAAAAAGACAAAGAATGTCAAGGATCTTCAATCAAACAGACACCTCTAATAGCCTTCTTTGTTCTTCTTCGATGTTAGTAGCTACAAACGCATGTCAACCCTTTCTCTCTTCTTCAAAGACGTCAGTAGCTACCAGCGCACGTCAGAATTCTCTCTTTTCCAACGACGTTATGATACTCAAGGTATCCGTATTTGTGGTAAGGGGGTGGCGACCGTATTTTTTCCAGTCGGTAGAGGTTGCAAAGGAGAAGGAGAATTATTAGGGTTTAGGAAAAGAAAGAATATAGGGGAAGGAGTTATCTCTTATTCATGCCATGCGTAAGGGTTATCATTCCCTTATATAGAAGAATTCCCCAACCTAAATTACTAATTTTCTATCATGTCGGTTCAAGAAAAGCGATGAGGTAAAGAACCGAAAAGAAACCCTCGAAAGTTCGCTCACCTAAACAAATATATTACATTAATGAATAAAAAGGAATAATAAAAATATCAAACGTATTCTTCGAAACGGCGAGGTCGCCCAGCATTCCGTCGTGGTCGTCCAACCCTAGGAGCCTCTTTGTGGTCTACGTCCGCATGGCCCAAATTCCCTGCATGGCCCGTATCAACTCCCCCGGGGTTAGCTTCCGCCTTGTCCTCAAGGCGGAGATCTGGATATTTGCCCAATAAGTCATCAACAGGCTCCCACGTAGCGTCATCGTCTGACCCATCCGACCAACGGACGAGCCATTGCTCTTGTGGGTGGCCATCTACCAGGACCGTGCGGCTGCCCAGCCCCAGAACAGGGGTTGATAATGGTCGTCCCTTGAAGAAACAGTCCGGCAAGGAGGAGGACAAAGTGTTGCCCGGTCGTGCTATAGAGGGACGCAGAAGTGAAACATGAAAAAAACATCATGTATCTTGCATCCGTTCGGCAAACGAAGACGATAGGCCACAGCCCCCACACGCTCCATCGCCTCAAAGGGCCCATAATATCGTTGGGCAAGCTTGGTAGACAACGGACGGGCCATCGAGTGTTGGCGGTACGGCCGAAGTTTGAGAAGCACCATGTCGCCGACCGCATAGTAAACATCCCGTCGGTGTTGATTAGCTTGCGAACGCATACGTTGATGCATCTTGGTAAGGTGAGCCTTCAAATCATTGAGCAAATTGGCGCGTTCACGTAACATTTCCTCAATGGCCGGAACCCGAGCACGCACTGATAAAGTGGGAAATAACGAAGGTGGTGGGCGACCATAGAGGGCATGGAAGGGTGAAACGCCCAGCCCTTCATGGTTGCTGCAGTTTAAGGCTAGCTCTACCCACGGTAGGAAACTCGACCACTTGGACGGCCGCTCATACGTAAAAGCTCAGAGGTATTGTTTGAGGCTACAGTTAAGAACCTCCGTCTGACCGTCGGACTGGGGGTAGTAGGCGGTGGAAAACTTGAGAGAAGAGCCGCTTAACCGCATCAATTCTTTCCAAAATAAGCTCATAAACACTGAGTCTCTGTCCGAAATAATGGAGCGAGGGAACCTGTGATGCTTAACCACGACTTCGGTAAAGAGACGGGCAACACGTGGGGCATCAAATCCAGCGGCTAAGGTCCCAAAATGTGTGTACATGCTCAACCTGTCGACCACCACCATGATTACAGTGAAACCCTGGGACGGGGGCAAGCCCGTGACGAAATCCATTGAAGCGAATTCCCACACTTGGTCCGGTTTGGGTAGCGGTTGAAGGAGCCCGGCGGGTCGTTGGGTTGAATATTTCGTGGCTTGACACACGGCACAGGAGGCTAAAAACTGCCGCACATCCCGCCGCATCGATGGCCAGTAAAACACCTGCGCCCAAACGGCGGAAGGTCCGCTCAACTCCCTGGTGGCCGGCGAGTGGTGTAGCATGGAATTCATGGAGCAATGGGTTGCGTAGCTGTGATGACGGATTGAGATACAATCGATGGCCATGGTAAAGGAGATCATTATGGACAGAGATTTCGGAAGAAGTTGTGCCGTCCCGAACCTTGGCGTGGAGCTGGACAAGGTCGGGAAGAGTAGTATTCTCCGCCAGGAGATCTTTGAGGAGGTTTGGCAGTGGCTGAGCGTAGGCAGTAAATAGAGCAGAATCCCCATCCTCCTCTCTGCGAGACAATGCATCGGCGGCGTGGTTGGAGACCCCCGTTTTATACTCTATACGGAACTTGAACCCCATGAGTTTGCGAATATAAAATTGCTGATCCGGTGTTTGCACAACTTGTAATAACAGCTCCTTAAGGCTCCGTTGGTCAGTCCGGATGACGAATTTGCGGCTCAAAAGATATTTCTGCCATTTTGAACCGCCTCAACAATCGCATACAATTCTTTATAATATGTAGACGCTGTCCGCAGGCGTGGTCCCAACTTTTTACTAAAGAATGCCAACGGGTGCCCTTGTTGCATGAGGACAGCCCCAATACCCGTCGTAGAGGCATCCGTTTCCAAGAAAAAAGTTTGAGTAAAATCCGGCAAGCGCAACACCAGCGCAGATGTCATGGCTCGTTTGAGGTTATTGAAGCTCTCATCTGTCAACGGAGTCCACTGAAAGTTTTCCTTCTTGAGTAGCTCCGTCATTGGTGCTGCCAACATGGTGTACCTGGTTATGAAACGGCGATAATATCCGGGGAGACCAAGGAATCCCCGCAACTGTTTGATGGTAGTCGGTTTAGGCCAGTTAACCATGGCATCAATTTTGCTTGGGTCCAGGTGCAACTCGCCGGCGGTTAGGATATGGCCGAGGTAATCAATGGAGGCCCTGCCAAAAGAACACTTGCTGAGTTTGACATAAAAGCAATTAGATTGGAGATTACCTAAAACAGTCCGAAGGTGAGCCGCGTGGGCGTCGACTGATGCACTGCACACCAAGATGTCGTCGAAAAACACAATGACGAGTTTCCGTAGGTATGCCCGAAAAAGGTTATACATCGCCGATTGGAAAGTCGACAGGGCATTGGTGAGTCCGAACGGCATGACCAAAAACTCGTAATGTCCGTGTTTAGAGAACACCCAACTCGTAATGTCCCCCTCATGGATACGCATCTGGTGGTATCTAGAGCGTAAGTCAAGTTTAGAGAACACCCGAGCGTGGCCTAATTCGTCAAATAGCTCGTCCGTTGTGGGGATTGGGTAATGATCAGGGACTGTGGCGACATTCAATGCTCTATAGACAACGCAAAAACGATATGTACCGTCCTTCTTACGCACCAAGAGAACCGGAGAGGAGTAGGGGCTGTGGCTTTGTCTAATCAACCCCTGGTCCAACATTTCCCGAACATGCCGCTCAATTTCTGTCTTCTAGAAGTATGGATAGCGGTATGGGCGAACATTCACGGGCTTGGCGATTGTGTCAAAATGAATTTTGTGATCCCATTGACGTGCGGGTGGCAACCCCTGCGGTAACTTGAACACATCTGAATGTGCTAACAAGATAGCATGAATAGGAGCCGGGATGTCATCTGGAAACGCAGGTGGAGAGGCCGAATCCTGCCAAGGAGAAGAATCTGCCAGCATCAATTCATAAATATCCCAAACATCCGGGGCCGCGGCCATAGTGCAAAATTGGCTATAGGAGATCGGCCGAGGGTGAGGAACGTCCGCGCGCAGGACTACCGGGCTGCCCTTCCATGAAAACTCAACCGTTAACTGTGAATAATCATGCGACACCTTGCCGAGGGTTTGTAACCATTGCATGCCCAAGATGATGTCGGGGCCATGTATTTCAAGAATATATAAGTCCACGTCGAAGCGATGACCTTGCAAGCATACCAGCATTTGGGGGCAGGAATAGGCGCACCATAGAGAGTCCCCATTACCGACATATACCCGAAACAGAGTTTCTGAGTGGAGGGTCAACGCGAGGCGTTCGGCCACGGCGGGGTGAATAAAATTGTGCGTGCTCCCCCCGTCCAAGAGCACCTGAACCGCCATCTCCTTGATGGACCCCACCAACTTGAGGGAACGGGGGCTGGGGCTGTCGGCCAGTGAGTGGAGGTTGGAGACGTCCCCCGAAATTACAGCAGCTTCTTGGTCTCTATCAACAAAATCCTCAACGTCCAGGGGGTTGTCATCTTCATCAGGACCCATAAAGACCAGGAACCGATGCTTACAATGGTGGCCTGGAACCCACTTCTCGTCGCAGTACCAACATAAGCCTTTCTTGTTGCGTTCCGCTTTCTCGGCATTCGTCAAGCGGACAACAGGCAGGTTCGTCGTTGCAGTGGAGGTACGTGGGGTTGGCGAGTTGAGCTTCGGGGCGGCAGTGGGGGTAGGCAAAATTCCAGTAGTAACTGAAGATGGTGGACGTTGCGGCCAAGGGTGCCGGACCCCAGAAGAATAAGTGGCCGCAGCTTCCTGGTGACAAGCCGAAAGTTCACGCGCCAGGGCGAACGTAGCCGGCAGTGTGCTAGGATTCCGAAGGTTAACCTTCTGTTGCACCGGCTGTTTAAGTCCCGCAATATACATGGCAACAAGGGTCGGTTCGGGGACCCCGGAAACCTTATTGAGAATTGATTCAAAAGCGGATTGATACTCCATAATTGAAGAAATCTGCGTGAGCTTGGACAGTAACCCAACGTACTTCTCATAATAATTGGGGTTGAAGCGTTGTTGCACGACATGAAGAAAGTCGGGCTAAGTCGCCGAGGGGTTGTTCGCCTGATAATAATGGAACCATTCGGATGCAAGATGGTCGATCAACATGGCCACGAGTTGTATGCATTCTGGTTCCGACGTCAAGAAGTAATCAAAATACTTTTGGACACGAAAAATCCAACCCGTAGGGTCATCATCCGAAAACCTCGGCGCATCTACATGCATGCGAGGGGCAGGATCCAGTGTCGGTGGGGTCGTGCGAGACGGAGGCGGCCGCTAGCCCGGATTATAAGGAACATCGTGGCGGCGATTCTCATCCATGTGTGTGTTGGACATGAGTTCAAACCGCTTTACTATTTCTTCTGGAATATTTTTTTTGTTTTGATGAATGACAAACAGGATGATTAAATTCAAGTTGATCGAAAATTTATTTTCGTATCGAGAAAAGCAAAGAGGCGTACCAAGATAAAATTAAGGCTTACCCCTACGCAGAATTTTTTTTGAAGTGAAGTGAAAACTCTGAAGATTTCTTTTAATTAAGTCTAGGAATCTTTGTAAGGATGACAATATTTTTTGCACAAACAAATTATTTTTGAGGGATAAAAATTATTATTTTCTGAGTCAGTTGAAAAATTACTTTTCCTCTGTCTAAAAATATTTTACTGAGTCAGTTTCAAAATAAGTGTGTCAAAATTTCTTAAAAACATTTTTTTAAGAATACACAAATTTTTTTTTATGAAAAATATACTATAAATATTTTTCTTGTATATCGTTTGACACACAAAATAATTTATGGACTCTTTTTCTCTCCCCTACTCAAATTCATTGAATAGGAGATATGAGGAGCGTCCGTTGATATTCCCGTTGTACCAAACAACGAGTTAGAAGCCAAAGGCTTCCAATCGCACTTAGCTTGGGCCCTTTATGTTTGCGCATTATTTCCACTTTAATTGATTAATTTTTCTAAATTAATCGATTAGATACAGTTCCGGATTTCTCAAGCCTTCATTATTAATCGATTTTTCTTATTCATTCAATCGATTAGTTCTCTCAGCACAGTCTAATCGATTTTTCCATCAAACTTAATCGATTAAGATTGCATTTTTCGCTGAAGGCTTTTTTCCAATTAATCGATTTTTTTCTTCACCTTAATCGATTAGTTCAGACAGCGCCGTCTAATCGATTAATTTCTCCACTTTAATCGATTAATTTTGTCTGGTGCCTATTCTCAGCCTGCTCCAACGGTTCCATTTTCTTCAGCCTATTTAATCCCTCTTTCTCCTTCATTTTAAGACACAACTTTTGCACTCCAATATCTTCATTGAGCTATATTCATTTCTTGCTTCCATCTTCCTCATCAAATATATTATTTTGAGAGTTAGAAATATTTTATTGAGTACTAAAGATTTTGTCATCCATAGAGCTTTAATTCTTCAACACTATGCTCAATTGTGTGAGCTTTCATTCTTGTGTTGTATATTCAATCTCATTTGAGTGTTGTTCTTAAGACTTGTGTGACTCAAGTCTTGTTGTTGTAAAAAAGTGAGGCTTGTGTGATTCAAGTTCTCAAGTTGTACCGGTTTTTCAAGCACCCGTTGAAGCTTGAAAATTAGTAGGACTTTCGAGAGAGTCTCTCGGAGGACTGGACTAGCCACGAGGTGGTGAACGAGTATAAATCTCGGTGTTCTTCTTTCCCTTACTCTCTTTATTTATTCCTGCGATTTTATTATTTCACACACGCGAAAAATGCACATTCTTGAAAACAACTCTATTCACCCCCCCTCTAGAGTTGCACATTTGTCTAACAATTGGTATCGGAGCAGGAAGTTCTTCGAATACGTTATTTTTTCAGGAACTAAAAGATCAAATGGCATCAAGAATGTTCAACGCGGGAGTGACCGAGGGACAATCAACCACGAGGCCACCTTTGTTCGATGGATCAAACTACTCGTATTGGAAGGAGAGGATGAGAATCTTTATCCAATCCAACGACTACAAGCTGTGGTTGATTGTGAAGATTGGCTGCGGAGTCCCTATAAAGAAAGTCGGTGAAGTCAACGTCCCCAAAACCGAAGAGGAGTTCACCGACGAAGATTGCAAAAAGATGGAGCTCAACGCAAAGGCAATAAACATGATTTATTGCGGTGTTAATGCGGATGACTACCGCAAAATCTCGCGGTGTGAAACCGCAAAACAAATGTGGGAGAAATTGGAGGTCACCTACGAAGGAACCGCGTAGGTTCAGGAGGCCAAAATCGACCATCTCACCCACGAGTACGAACTCTTCTCAATGAAGGAAAACGAGAAGATTGAGGAAATGTTTGAGAGGTTCTCTAACATCATTAATCCTCTCAATCTTCTCGGGAAGACTTACACCGACCGAGAACTTGTAAGAAAGGTGCTACGAAGCTTATCCCCAAAATGGCGTTCAAAGGTGGACGCAATTGAAGAAGGATGTGACTTCCAAACAACGACCTATGATGCTCATCGAGGTAACCTCATTACCTACGAAACCACCCAACTCTCAAAGGTGGTTGAAGAGAAGAGCAAGAGGTCTATTGCTCTACCCGCAACAACATCATCCCACAACAACGTTGATGATGAAGATGATGACAGCGACGACACCGACCTCGGACTCTTCGTCCGAAAATTCAAGAAGATGATGCTCAAGAGGGGAGCCAAGAAGAACACTCCACCCAAGTGCTATGGGTGTGGTGAAATTGGACACATCAAACCAATGTGTCCAAAGCTCAAAAACGAGAAGGACAAGAGGGCACCGAAGAAGCAATGTGCCTACATTTCTTGGGAGAACGACGGCTCCGGGAGTGAAGACTCGGAAACGGAGGAAGTGGCCAACCTATGTCTCATGGCCATTGAGGATGGTGAAACATCAAAAGAGGTAAGTGATCAAGAACCTTCTCCCAATGATCCTTTAACTCTTAATGATGTTATTTGCATTGTAGAAGAACTTGTAGGAATGTTCAAAAAGGCTTCCAAAGAAAATAATGAAGTTAAACAAAAAATCCTGATTTTTGAAAAAGATGTAAAAGAACTCAAAAATATAAATGATAAACTTAAACAAGAAATTATCTCTCTTGGAAAAGGCCACAAGAACCTTCATCTACCTCTTCTACATGCTCTAGTTGTACATCACTAAAAGCTAAGGTTGCTAGTTTAGAGAGCAAATTGGGAAAGTTTAATAATGTTTCAAACACCTTAGATGAAATACTTAAGCAAAAAGTTAGTAATGGTGAATGACTTGGATATAAGAAAAACCAACCTAGAAAAACAACATTTGTTAAAGCTAGGGGGAATAAAAATGCTAGGATAAATAATCAAACTAGAAGAGCACATCCTAGCAAACCTAGAACTCATTACACTCAACCATATAGGATGAATAATCCAAACGTTATTTGCCATTATTGTAATAAGATAGGGCACATTGCACCCGTGTGCTTCACCAAAATTAGGCATTTTCAACAAACGCACACACATCGCACATATGCTAACCAAAAAGGACCCAACAATACATGGGTACCTAAACCGTCTCCTTGATAT